AATTACAAATGGCTGTAATAATGCACTATCATCAGTATTATTAAATGTGACTCATTACTCTTTAATCGCTGACATTCATTTCTTTAATGAATTTACAAAAAAGCCATCTCTAATGAATGTTTAGCATGACTGGTCTTTCTGAACATGGTTCCTTACTTCTTGACTTTACATTGTAAATGAAGGCTCATGAAAAGCAAAACATGAGGGAACTGAAGAACAGAATTCATCCCTTTATTGGGGTTTTAGCAGAAAACCCATCCTCCGTTCAGGGGCTAATGAGATTAACAGAAATCTAACAAAGTCCCAAATCTAATTATTATTGACCTTTAGAACAAAGAGGTTACTGGAGGTCAGGATGTACAGTCTCTCATTGGTTGCTCTGAAGCCTAGGATGGGTTTGTCCGAGTCCAGGCTGGTCACCTGTTGCTTGGCAACCTGTCCTACCTGACGGCCCTGTTTCCTGTTGAACAGGACAGTCTCCACTGGGGATGGCTGCCGGTAGATGAATGCACGGCGGAGACACTCACACAGTGATGCATAGGAGAAATTTGGAGCGCAGGTGGCAAACTTTTTATCCCGTTTGGATGCCTGGACATAGCCTATGAAAACAGAACAGTAAGATGAGAGGCATGTTTCACTGAGAGCGAGGCTCTCTCTGCAGGAACGAGACGTTCCCACTCACACAACTGACAACTAGAAGCCACCCAGCGGCGAAAGAACAGTGCAGCTGTTACTCAGGGATGTTGAGGATTTCACTGATCAAGTAGTTATGTAATATACTCAATGTTGCTCAGCTACTGTTTCACCACCCTGAGTTCTTCTCCAGGGACTGAAGTTGGCTTGTTACTGGATGAACCTCACCCAAACAATAATGGCTTTTAAGCTTTCTGTTTTCTGCTCCTCAGTGTCAAATAGCAGCATGCTATTTGAAGAAAATTTCAATCATTTGCCATCAGTAAAACTGCACACCGATCTCGTTTGCTGAAAACACATCTTTTGCTTCTAAAATCTGATTTAAAATTTGATCTACTGAGATTTCTCCACTGCAACTCGACTTCGTCATTCAGGAAAACAAAGTTAAGTTTTACAACATAATGTTCAACTACTGCAGCTCTGACCAACTGTCACTACCAAACCATTTACTACATTATATAATTTCTACTCTCTCAAATTCATTATCTGAAGTTCATGTACATGAACCTATTTTCTATATGGGCGTATGTACAAACTTTGAATGATCCATTACATGCTGGTTTGACAGACGCCCACTCGTGTGAAGGGGGAAACTATAATAATGATACAGTCCGTTCTATTGCACCTAAACGTGCATGTTTTCAGCCCATTTTCCATGATGCCTCTTTTGAACTCAGTGAGATCATTTCTGAAAATATCACCGTGGATCCATCGGTGCTCTCAAATTGGATGATGTATTACAAAAAGGGCAGACTGGTAAAGCTCTGCGCTGTTAAAAACAGACTAATGAAGATGACATACCTGTCAAAGTGGAAAACTGAAATACCACTGGGTATTGCCGTGGATGAGGAGAGATAGATAAGCAGATAAATGAAATAAGCAAACACTGAGAATTGCTGTACTGGTTGATGGCCTGAGTGTCTGAACACATCAGGCAGTGGCTGAGTTAAGACGCACAGTGTAATCTGGTTACGTTTCTTTTTGTGTCTGTGAATTGCTACAAGCGGAGTCAGTAAACTCTCTCTTGTCATTAACTGCGGTTTAATTGCAGCCATTTAAAGAGT